ATCTTGTTTTATTTGAAGGTGGTGTTTTCTTCTTAAATTCCCTTTGTTTCCAGTTGGTTTTAAGAAAGGAAAGAAAAACTATAGCTGCCTGTTTTTTTTTTTTAATTTTATGTAAGGAGAAAAAAAAAGGAAAAGGGTACAAGTTATACAGAATTTCAGAAAAAATAAACAATAGGAAATCACTAGTTAATAGATTACATATTGTCATCTAGACATAACTAGAAATAGTTGTTCAAGTTACAAATTTAAAGCATATAAAGTGGACATTGCAAACCAATTCTGTTCAGTGATCCAACAAAAATCAGTAATGTGGTTATCTATCATATACATTTAAATATACATGCAGTTATATCCTTTAGAGCACTTTCTTTTCCTTATTTTTTACAATGACAATTACACATTTTGGGTTTTATTACTCCCACAGTTCTGATTACTTTTTTTTTTTTTTTTTTTTTTGAAGAGAATGAAACCAAATGTGACATAACAAAACAGAGTCAGTCAAATCAAAAGGATGGACATAATACATAATGTAAAAACAGAATACAAGGTGATCAATAGACACAATACACATAATACGTAATGTAAAAACAATACAAGGTGGTTATCATAATGCCTCTTGCTAACTTAAAAAGAATTGCCTATATCATCAGTTATAATAAAATTGAACAAAAGAGTAAAGAACAAAACCAATAAAACCAAAACATTGGAGACATTACAGGACTTCAAAAGAAGATAATAGTCAACCAGAATGGGCGTCATAATGAATCTTATTGTCTTCACAGTTGTTGCCTATACTCTCAAACTTGGTACTATCAAGCAAAACAGAATAGAGGAAAATCAGTCAAAACAAGATGGTGAGAGCAATACAGGGTTTCAAATCAAGTTAATAGGAAATCAAAGTGGGTTACTATAATATATCCTGCTATTTTTTATTTATTTTTTCTCTTAAAAAGATAAAAATAAAAAAGTAAATAATAAGGATACTGAGATAAAAGAGGACATAACAAAACAGTACAAGTCAGAACATAACCATTTAATCAAAATAGTGTTTCACCACAAGATATCCCAACATAAAAGTAGTTACCATAGTGTCTCTTTCCTTGAAATCTTTGAGTGTAACTTCATATACTGTAGCATCAAACATATCAAGACAATGTAAAACCATTCAGGAGAATGACAGTATTACAGGGTATTTAGAACCAACTAACAGAAAATGAACAATGGTTTCTGTATTATCTCCTTGTCTATAAAAGTTTTTGTTTATATTATCACATATAATAAAATCCGATAAGGTGCAACATGTTAAGACCGATGGAGAAAGAAGAACAAAAGCTTGATAGGACTTCAAAACAAGATGATATTAAATCAGCACTAATTATTATGATGTCTTGTTGTCTCCAAAATAGCTGTTCCTATCATCCAACCTTCTCTGCCTCATTTCTGTTGAGCTCTTTTTCTGTCATTAGTTGTCAGTTTGTCTTCTTCATTTTGCTTTCTGCTCCATTCATTGTGGCCTCTCTGCCACTGTTTCTGGAATCTTGGTATTTTTCTTTTTTAGAATGTCCTGCAGTATTCTCTGTAGAGTTGAATTGGTGGTTGCAAATTCCCCTAGTTCCTCTTTATCCTGGAAGCACTTTGTTTCTCCATTAATTTCTAGGGATAGTTGTGCAGGATATATCAATCTTGGCTGTCAGTTATTATCTTTCAAAGCTTGAATTATTTCCCCCACACTCTTCATGATTTGATGGTTTGTGCCAAGAAGTCTGCTGTAATTTTGATGGGTGTTCCCTTGTAAGTGATCTGTTTCTTGTCTCTGACGGCTTTTAATAATCTGTTCTTAATATTGGATTTCTGGAATTTTGATTATTATATGCCTGGGTGTAGTTCTGTTTGTGTTGTAGGTAGCTGAGGTCCTGTATGCCTCATACATCTGAGTATCTTTACCTTTTGCTAAATTAAGGAAATCCTCCTGGATTGTTTCTGTGTATAGCCTTTGTAGTTCATTTGTATGTGTCCCTACTTCTTCCTTTACGTTCTTAATTCTTAAGTTATAGATCCTCTTATCATCTTCTAGCCTTTGTGTTATTGCTGTTTGTTTCCTTGGTTTTTTTCTTTTTTTTTTTTTTGGTCTTTCTCATTTTTATCGGTACCAGGGATTAAACTCATGACTGCCTGCTTGCAAGGCAGGTGCTCATGCCACTGAGCTAAATCCCCAACCCCTCCTTGTTATTTTTAAGAAGTTTTTCATTTCATGCTCCCACATTCCAGTTCAGATAATCTATCCTTAGTTTCTTTCAAGCTGTTATACCAGCTTTCAATAGAATTTTTAGTTTCCTGGTAATCTCCTTGAACCTGCTTCACGTATTCTATGTTTTCTCTGTTTTCTCCATCAAACAATTCTCCCCTTTATTTCTCTTCTTTCATTCCACCATCTGTTTTTTCTTGGGAGTTGCTTAGCATTTCTCTCACGATTCTACTTACATCTTGCTTTACTTCGTTAAGTACTTCACTTTTGAACTCGTCTGTGAGGTTCTGGAGAAATGGCTTTATGTCTATTGGATTTCTGATATTGCATGTTTTCTGTTCTCATTCTCCTTTGCATTTACCTTTCCTGGATCAGTGTTCTCAGGGTTGGGGACCGAGGACCCTTTCTTGTTGCCTCTTCTCATATTTTTTGTTCCTTCCATATAGGCGTAAGAGGCCCAGTGTCTTTCTTCGTCAGTTACAGTTTGTTTGAATCTGCCGGCTAGGCGTTCCTGCCCACTGCAGTGTACTAGGGAGACAGACCAGGGCAGCGTATGTTGGGCCTGCCCCTCCACATCAACCTGCTGAAGGCTTCACTACTAGGGTGCACCGCCAGGTGCTGGGACCTGGTTTGCGCTAGCCTACTGGGTCTTAGTCTGCGGCTTTACCCAGGTTAGGTGTTCCCCACCAATCCTGCTTGAAAGGGGAATATGCAACTAATGTCACTGCAGCATCCTGTTCTGGCTAGTCTGCCCGGTCCCAGAATGTCTTCTGTTGGAGCCTCCTAGTCTATGAAAGGGTCCCCGTTCCTCTCACCGCAGGTCGATGCAGGGCTCCCCACCAGTCCTGCTCTCAACTCCATTCGCCGATTCCCACTCGTTTCTATCCCTGCTGTGCAGATTTCAGACGCAGCAGGGGCAGAAAATTCAAATCACAGTGTCCAGAGGCGCAGGTTCCAGCTTCGGTGCTGAGATTTTACCGGTCATAGCATCAGGATTGCATTTCCAGTTGGTTTCTCTCAGCTTAGTTTGTTCCTGGGTCGACAGGGTATATCTCCCTTTGCTTAGGACTCCTCACACCGCACAATTCCTGGATTCTAAGCTGGCTATCTCAGAGAACCTCCATAGCTGCTGTTATCTATCCACCGTGTTCTCCCGGAAGTCCAACTGCCTGTTTTTAATTAGAAGGTTCTAGTTCAATGATTATTCTAGTGGCAGTCATTGATGATTCAAACAATGCTCAGTTTCCTTTTTTAGTAATGTAGGAATTTGTTTAGGTTTTGCTTATTTTATACTGCTCTTTGTATTTTTTGTCCATGTATATATATTTTAGGCTCTGAGATGTTTTATATCCTTATATAAATATTATGTTATTAAATTATATCTTACTCAAACTAATTAGCCCATCACATAACTTTTTGGTGGTTCTCATCCATAGTTTTCATGACCCAGCCTGTTTTTAGAAATTGAAGAGAAGCAAATGTCATCCTCCTGGCTTCCCATTACCAAGGTTCTCCCTGACAAGATGCTGTCCAGAGAAAGCTATGGGAATGCAGGACACAGAAGAGCATTGAGTGGATTTCAAAAAGAAGATGGGAAAGGATGGGAGAGAGGCAGATCAGTTTCTAAGTGAAATGACCAGATTTACTGACTCTCCAGTATTTGAATAACAAAGCAGGAAAACAGTCACAGCTAGTTTACCTACTGGAGAGTTGGCTCCCATCTGTCTGTCATTTGTAATTTAGATGCATTCTGTCAAAATAAGATTATGTTACACACCTTTTAAGTGACTCAGCAAGATGAGAAAAGTTTTAAATTTCTGAATAGGTAACTGCCAGCTATGTGGTACAGTATTAAGCCAAATGATTTGTGAATAGTGTTTAAAGCATATTTTGTTTTGTTTCATTTAAAAAAGGGTCTTAACTTTGTAGACCTCAAAGTCATAACAACCCTCCTACCTCCGCCTTCTAAATGCAGGGATTACAGAGAAGCATTATTTTCTCTACTTGCTGGTTATTTTGGTAGAAATATGTATACTATCTAAATCTAAAAGTTGCTAACTTTTAGAAAAATTTCTAATTTTTCCAATACTGGGGATGGATTCCTAGGCTCTTTGCAGAGATTTACTATATCCCCCATCCTTTTTTAGGCAGGTTTCACTAATCACTATGTTGCCTGAGCTGGATTGCAACTTGGTATCCTCCTGCCTCAGCCTCTCAAAATGCTGGGATTATAGGATAAGCCACCACATCTGGCTTATTATTATTTTGGTACTAGAAATCAATCTCAGGACCTTGCGCTTGTCAGGCAGGTGTGTATGCCATGTGAGCCATATCCCTGGACCTTAATTTTATTTTTAGAGTGAACTGTATTTGAATTAGCAAAATATGGTATCTTAGAAGTATTTATTCTAAAATTGTTTAATATCAAACCAAGATAAAAGCAATTTTTAGTTCAGAGAAGATTACATTTTGGTTCATTATATGAGTAAATTTGTGAAACAGTGACTTGTGTTAAAGCTTTGCATTTTAGGCCAGGAGTCATACTACACACCTGTAATCCCAGCACTTGAGAAGCTGAGGCAGAAGGATCATGGGTTTGGAGCCAACCTTGATTACATATGGTGACCTTGTCTAACAAAGCAAAACACAATATGTTCAGTAGAACATATCAGGACTCAAATCTGTGCTATATTGTAAGAAAACCCTCCCTGCCCTGCCAGCACCAATATAGTCAAAAATTGTTATCATTTACCAGAAAAGAGAAAGATTACATGATGAAGAGGGGAAAAAAAGTACCTGGGTAAGTCAGGAGAGGCAGAAGACGCTGGACAGACTCCGGACATTCAAACAGGTAATGAATGCCATGTGACCTGCTTGCTTTCCCTTGCCTTTTCTGTTTTTGTGTTCTTTTTTTTGCTTTGTTTTTTGTTTTTGTTTATTTGAGACAAGGTCTTGCTATGACCTCTGTACTGGCCTTGAACTCACTATATAGCCCACACTGGCCACATACCTCACAGCCCTCCAATGTCAGCCTTCTGAGTGCTGGTATTTCAAACATGTGCCCCCATGCCTAGCTTTCACTGCTATCAGACAGTTGCACATGCATTTCTATTGTAAGGTTTCTGTGGTGTTCCTTTTTAAAACTTTGTTCTCTCCACACACACATTTATATTATTATTTATTTATTTATTTGGACACAGAGTCTTACTCTGTAGTTTAAGCTGGCTTTAAACTCATTATATAGCCCAGACAGGCCTCAAACTTGCAGTGATCTTCCTGCCTCGGTCTCCGTAGTACTGAAGCCTCACCTTATTCCTCTGGACCACAGGGTCCCCTCAACAGAGCCATGTGAGCTTCAGGCAGGCCCAGGCATCATGTGGGAGAGAGGGGTGGCAGGCACAACTAACAGAGGCTGCTGAGGAAGTGATGCCCACAGCATTTCTCACAGGCCTGACCAGGGCTTCCCACGTGAAAGCAGCATGGGGAGGCTGCTGCCCAGCAGCATCACACCGTATCCCTTTGTCTTCAAAGGGCATCCTAACACACCACGTAGTCTTTTAGAAAACCTGTAAGCATTTGAAAAGACCAGTAGCATAAGTTTTATTATGTTGCATATTTTATATCCAATTTATTTTTCCATTTAAATCAGTAGTTCTATACATTTTTGTTAATATTATCTGACTGGACAGTTGATAATGTCAGTAGATTAGAAGAAACCAGGCCTTACCAAATCTCTGATAAACAGTAAAAGGATTATGGTAATTGCTTGAGAAGTATTATACATTGGTATTCATATTTTGTTGCTTCCCTGAAAAATCAGGTGGGATCCAAAATAACCTTTGAATTGAAAGAGGACATATAAAAAAAAAAAAAAAGAGGACATAACAGGCTTTGTTCACATGTCATGGTTTTAGTGTAACCACCCCCGTTGTACTCATTTTTGCTATTTAGAAATATCCAGGGCAAGTCATACTCAAGTCAACCAGGTTACGGCTGGCTCATGCAAGGAGGAGGAGCACAGCAAGCCCTGCACCCCGGGAGGACCAGTGTGACTCTACACCCGGGCCCCAGCAGGCAGAGCCCCCCAAGCAGGAGGGAGGCTGCGGCCAGCCTGGGCCACCACAGATAGCAGCACCCCAGGGTCTCCAGAGCCTCACTCAACTTGAAGACTCTTCCCTAGCACAACTTGAAAACACGTCATTACCTCTTAGTGGGGTCACCTCTGAACCACCTCCCACTGCATCCCTTCCACTGTTGACTAGTAATGACCTCAAACTACCTTCTGTCATGGCACATCCACTACCAACGCCGGTTCTGCCCACACCCCTGCCGCCACCACCACCACCACCACCACCACCACCACCACCTCCGCCTCCGCCTCTGCCTGTCCTGAAGGACAGTGCTGTCACTGCAGAGACACTGGAGACAGGGTCGCCCAGAAAGGATGGGACTGAGAAGAGGATCCCAAAGTCAGCCAACGCACCCTCAGCACACCTCTTTGACAGCAGCCAGCTGCTCAGTGCCCGGAGAAAGCTCAGGAAAACCACAGAAAGCTTGGAGAGGAGGAGAGGTAAGCTCTGCAGATGTTTGTGTGATCGCTTGCTAGACACAACCACCTGCTATATAGAGCTCAAGACATTTATTGATAGCACACAGGTCTCAAGGTCCCATCAGAGGAAAATTCTTAATAGTCCAAAGAAACAAACATGTACAGACACACAGATGTAGACCTTCACCAGACATTACTGTGTTGATATTTTCTGACATGATGACATTTGACCTATTTGGTGGTGGTTCCTTTGGTTCTGTAGAGAAAATCTGATTTTAAAACTAGAAAATAAAGTACTTATGGGATGGGAGTGTGGCTCAGCAGTGGGACACTTTCCTGGCTTGTGTGAGATATGTTCAGTCCTCAGAACTAGGGAGAAATGGGAAATACTCTAGGAAATGGAGAAGAGCCAGGCAGGGTGGCACACACTGTAACCCTCATTCTCTGGGAGGCTGAGATAGGAGGGTAGTATGTTTGAGTCCAGCCTCGACAATGCAATGAAACCCTTTCTCAAAACAGAAAATGTAGTGGGCCAGTGAAACAGCTCTGTGGCATAAGCACTTGCCTGGCAAGCGCAAAGTCCCCAGTTTGATTCCTGGAACTGAAAGAAAGGGAGGAAGGGAATAAATATAGGGCTGGAAGGAAATACAGTGCAGCAGCATAAGTGCCTGCCTGGATTTCAAGACCTGGTACCAAAAAAAAAAAAAAAAAAGATAGATATGTAAAGGCCCTGGGTTCCATCCCTGGAACCATGGCAAGGGTGGTAGAGAGACATTAGCAGATCATGAGACATTTGGTCACATTTTGGTATTAAGTACCTTGTTATAGTCTTTATAAAAATAAAGGCAAAGAATGGAGAGAATGTGTACAGTTTATTGCATGTCAAACACACTTCAGTAAAGTTATTCCCAAAAATATGAGGAAAGAATCTCCTGACCTTTGAGAAGCTTTCAGTTTACCTAGGACAAATTTGTATGAAGCAGTTTGCATCTCACATGTAATTGGAGAGAATATTCTATAAAATATTTCTTACCACAATCTGGGTAAAATTTCAGAGCATGGTCCCCCACAGTGAGTGGATGGTCCATTTTTGGGGGTAGACGTCTAACCCAGGAGTCTCCTCAGTCCTGAGGCTGCTTCCAGCTCAGCCAGCTCTCCGCTGTGCCTTGCTCTGGGAATATGATGGAGGAGCAGCAGTATTTGCCCTCTAATTTTTCAGGATTTTTTAAACAAGAACAAAATAGGGCCCCTTCCACCCTGAGAGCCTCTTTCCACTGTTGCTGGCTGCCTTTGTAACTGGTATTTCCACATCTGGGTGGTTGTAGTCCAGAATGCCAGTGGTCACAGAGTTTGACTTTAAGCTGTTTTGTTTCATTTTCCAAAGTGAGCTCGCCCATGGATGAGGTGCTAGCATCCTTGAAGCGTGGTAGTTTTCACCTGAAAAAAGTTGAACAACGAACTCTGCCTCCTTTTCCTGATGAAGATGATAGTAACAATATCTTGGCACAAATAAGGAAAGGAGTCAAATTGAAGAAGGTACAGAAGGAAGTTTTGAGAGAGTCTTTCACACTACTGCCTGACACAGACCCACTAACACGGAGCATCCACGAAGCTCTGAGAAGAATCAAAGAAGCATCCCCTGAATCGGAGGATGAGGAGGAGGCCTTGCACTGCACAGACTGGGAGAACTGATGGGTAAATGGCACGTGGTCTTTGGTATCATTCAGTGAAGGGTTTATATTGCTTGATGGGGTCCCATATATCTTGAATCTGAGGCCCATTGGGTATTAAACAGCCTTCCTGTAGCATGGATTATAGATTTGTAAATTTCAGATCTTAATTCTGTAGTTTACTGAAACTAACACAAAAGGTACTTTTGAAGACTATATGTAAATGCTATTTTTTATATTTTGCTTATTAAGAATTTCTACGGTACAGCTATAGCTCAAGTAAAGTGACAGTCTCACTCTTCCTTAAACAAAAATGGGCTTTTTCTAACTGAAATACTTCACTTAACATGTTTTGAGTTTTCATGTCTTAGCTCCCTGCAAAGGAGTTTTCTAAAATCAGTCTAGTAAAATTGTTGCATTCTCTAGTTATGTAGCCCTCTGCACTCCTCTCCCTTTCTCTCCCCTCCCCTCCCGTCAGGCAGCATTTCATCTGTCTTTTGAACAGGGTTTCATTATGCAGTTCAGGCTTGCCTACAACACACTTTGTATTCCAGGCTGGCCTTGAACTCTTAGCTGTTCTCCTGCCTCAGCCTCCTTAGTGCTGGGATTACAGGTGTGTGCCACCACACCCAGCTGATTATGTGGCTTTCTAAACCTTTAAAACTACTCTAGTGCATCACAGTTAGTTACTGCACTGTCTGCCTACATTCAGGGCTGTGGTTCACAAATATAGGAGACTGGCATACATGATCTTGAGGCTGCTTGCATGCATGCATTCCTTTTAATAAGCTAGCTGCAGTATGTAAAGTGGCACAAATTATCCAGTCAATGCAGGTGCCACAAACTATAAATAAGGTAGTATGCAGGAATGGGGGACAGTCACCGTCAAGATGCAGTATCTTGTATAGACTCATTGTTGTTATTCATTCATTCCTTTCTTCAGCATTGACCAAAAAGGAAAAGGGAAACACCAAGATCTGGAGGGAAATTAAAGGTATTTTAACTTATTAGTTAAAAAACCATGATTCATAACAGTATTCTAACCTGGAACTTGTTAAAAATGAGGATTTCTGGCTTTGAGAGATTCTAAGAAGGTAGTATATGCAGATACACAACTGGATTTTGAAGACTTGGGACAAAAAATGTAAATTATATCAGTTTTTATATATTTATTACCTTATGAACAATGTTATTTGGTCATATCTCATGTTTTTCTATGGACACAGGTCCAAATCGGAAAATTGGCCCTCTTAGTCCCTTTCCAACTGCCATACCCATTGACATCTGTACCACTCTTAACACAATGAAAATCACACTCTTCTTGGTCTGTGTCACCACATTATGGTCAGTAGTATTCTGTCCAGCAGTATTTTGGTCAATGCTGTTACATAATAGGAGCCTTAATTATAATCACTTTATATGGCTATTTTTGGATCCCAAAATAATTCAAAACTCTTTGCTTATCCATAGGACACTATGCTTTGTAGAGGAGTGCCATTCTGTACGTATATGTGTGTCTACTTCATATGTAGATTACTTCCTGCTTTATAATTCTTGCTACTTACTGTATTATCTCCTCCTGCTTGTAGCTTTTCAGGTTGCTGCTTAAGCCTGAACCTAAAGCTGCTATGGTTTTGGTTTTGGGTTTTTTTGTTTGTTTTTCTTTTGGTTTTGTTCCAAATCTATTTTATTTCAAGAAGAAAATTTAAAAACATCAATCAGGCGCAACAGTGGTACATACATTGCACATTGTTGTCCCCAAATCATTTACCCAGAGTGCAAGACATCTGTATTCAATTGTCCATGCAATATCAACACAAATCTTTCTCTTCAGTGGAGTCAAAGAAATCAGTAGTATAACTGTCTTAGCTATCTTTTTTAATATATACATATACATATGTTGTTTCTTTCAGCATCTAACACTTGAGACAATATGATGTTTACACACGTGCATGTGATTTGTTTCACTTATGAGTATAGTTTCACATTTCATCCATTTACCTATAAAAGTCTCAAGTTTATCCTTTTGTCTGAGTAATACAAAAACTACTATTTTGGCACTGGTTAATTCCATAGCTGGGCTTTTGAGATCATGTGTATATTGCTCAGTTCTTTCATTACCACTGGCCTGCTATGACCTCCTCCTGGCACACTCAGCTGTCATGGTCATGTCTGTCTTCTCCCACTACCAGATCTACCAGATGCATAGACATTAGAAAGCAGTGGAATTCTATAACTCACCTGGCAGAAGGGTTATTTACAGCTGCTGGCTGAATGGTTAGTGTGAATCTCAAACACTGAGCAGAGTGCATCTTGGTATGCTGCTTTAAAAGCTGCATAGGACTGTGCTGGAAGATGTGTAGGGTGACTGTTGATGGCTGCTGTGTTGTACAGTAGTATACAAGGTCAGGGCCAGCACACTCTGTAAACACTGAGTGAACCATAGACTGTTGTGGTTGTACCCAGACAACTTAGGGGAGTGGTGAATCACTGCTTTGTGACTGGACAATAATTATCAAAGGCTCTTAACTTTTAGCCGTAGGTTGTATTTCTTAAAGATTTTTAAACTTAGATATGCTTTAAGTCAACTAGTTTGTCATAACTCGTGAAGTGCACAGTGGGGGTCTAGGCTGGGGCTGCTGCTTGAGGCTAAGCACTGAGTGAAACAGGGAGCCATGGGCACAGCTAACAGTGCTTGTCCTCTTCCTTCTATCTTCCCCTCTCTCCTCCTCCGGGGGCTTTAGACAGGCGGAAGTGCATTCAGTTACAGACTATAACCACTCTCCACAGTGATTCCCATGGGAATTTAAAAAAGGAGCCTGTGAAATTGAGTTGACACAGTGAAGCCAAAATGGTACCTTTAACGTGAAACCTGTGTACAGTCCACATGCTGTTGTGGCCTCCCCCTCATTCCTGTTGCCACGGCCATCTGTGAGTGGACCTACAGTTGCTCACACTGAGCATTGCGCCAGCCCACCTACCTCTGGGGAGTGTAAAGCTTTCGGAATCCAGGTCTGCTTCTCAGTGCAATCCTTACTTCACATTTATTGATTGGACTTCTCAATTTGGTTGTATTTCATGGTTAAAGTGTAATGTTCCACCAAAACAAAAAATTTATTTCTTGGGAAAATGTTGTATGTGGTTTGAGATGCTAAATTTAAATCAAACTAAAAAATGTAATCTCATTCATACCACCTTTCAGGTGCTCAGTAGCCATATGTTGTAGCTATAGTCTGTTCAGGTGTGTGTTAGTTTCCTGGCTGATTGGTCTTCTGTATGTGTATTCCTGTACCCGAGAAAGCACATATATCTTAACATAGTACTTTGAATAATACAACTGTCCTGGTAAAGTACTGACTTTTTTTGTTAATTGATTGATTAAGACACAGTCTTGCTATGCTGGCCTCAAATTCTCTATGTAGCCCAGGCCTGCTCTTGAATTTGGAGTGATCTTCCTGCCTCAACCTCCCAAGTACTAGGATTATTATCATGTACCCCTTCTCCTAGTTTAAAGTATTGATTTAAAGACCGTTTTCTGTCCTGTTCCCTAAATAGCTTGTTAAAGCAAAAACAGGTCAGGTGTTGTGGTACATGCCTATAATCTTCAGCATTCAGGAGGCCAAGGCAGGAGCATCATCAAAAGTTTGAGGCAAGCCTGGGCTACAAAGTATCTTCCAGGGCAGCCTGAACTGCACCAGGAGACCCTGTCTCTAAAAAATAAATCAGTATATAAAGCCCCAAAACAGTGTCTATTGAATTTTAAAGACACCATTTAATATTCTTACCCTGCTGGCAATTTATAGAGTGCATATATTAGATTGAATTTCCTTACTAAGTTTTGATACAATATTAGGAAAAAAATAAAAATGATTGTACCAGCTTTTTAAATTATCAAAGTCTGTAGTTTAAAATATTTTTATTTTGTTTTGTTTTTGCAAACATGTTCATTTTTAAAGGGCCTCCTGTTTGACCTGTTGTATAAATGTGAAAGAAGCCCACGTCTGCCCTGGATGTTGCATAGGGCTGCAGGGTACATGCAGACACGCTGTCTGTAGAAAGAGGCTTTTCTAAAATACACTTTATTGTTTTGTTTCAGACAGCTGACTTGAGACACGAAAACTGTCTGCGAAAGAAGATTGGTTCTGATTCTTTTGGAAAACAGTAGTTTAAACAGTTTGTCTCACAGTTGGATTCCTTAGACCCAGAGTATGCTGGCTCAGGTGGTGTGAAAGCAGAAGTGAGCACAGCTGGCAGTTCGTTGCCAGTCACCCAGCAGATGGTGGGAGCAGGGTCAGGTGGGCAGTGCTTGTGGCCCCAGTGGAGGGCAGGCCTTCTTCCACTGCCCAGCGTGCCCTGCGATGCTGGCTACCTACACTCAGTCACTGCAGCTGGAAGCACACTGGGCTGACAGTGTTTGCTTCTCAGCCATCTTGAGTACAGACAGAAGTCTGCTGAAAAATGCAGAGCTACTTCCAGATCGGTGTAGAGAGTGACGCTCTGAAGAGGAGACGTTGGGGACGCTGGAGGTCAGAAAGTAAATGCACATCAAATGGAAATGCACTTAAACTTTTTACATTACTCTTCTCCAAAAGAATCTTCATAAAGATGCTCACCACCTGAGAAGCCAATGGAAATACACCTGTTAATGTGTGTACCACAACATTTAACAAGGCATATTTTTAGAAGGACACACAGTCTTATACTTTGTAAGGATTTGAAGTTAAAATTTCCATGCTTTTTTTTTTTTTTTTGGTCTTTTTCGCTTTTATCGGTACCAGGGATTGAACTCATGACCACACACTTACAAGGCAGGCGCTTATGCCTGCTAAATCCCCTATTTCCATGCTTTTAAATAGCTCTTCATAATTCTGAATTTATAGTAGTTTGAATTTTATGTATATCCTTGTTTGTGAGAAGCAATACTTCATGATTTGATAATATTTCAAATTTCTTGTCTTTTTTTGAACTTGATCTCTGTAACTTACGACTTTCCTGTTGAGAATCAAAAATCAAGATTCAGGAATAGGGATACAAACCATTTTTATCATGCACCATTTTTAAGTTTTTAATTTACTCCACAGTGAAAAAGCATGTGCTCCACAAAGATGCAGAGGGGACCATCAGCAAAGCTTCTTCAACTGCATTTCACTGTCTCCAGATGTTTTGAACGGAACTTTGGAGAGAGCCCTTACTGTTATCACAGAATTTTAAGCATATATGCACAATTCTAGGGTTGCTGTAAAGAAGACTGAAGGGAACCTCTGTGAGTGAAATTGTTGTGGTTGTCAGCCAGATTGGCATGGACTTGCACAAAGGTAGATGTGTTGTATGTAATTTACAGCATTCTGTAGAGTGTGATTCTGCACGGGACAGGTCTTGGCTTTCCTGTTGAGATGTTAGGGCTGAAATGTCAGGAAATTTATTGAGAGCTTAAAGCTGGTCTAACCCCAGAAAACAGAACTAAAGTCACAGTTCTTAGAGTATTGAGTATTCCTAGAGAACAAATGTTCATGTTCTTGACATTTTTAAATGTTCTTTTCTTTAAAATAGTTGTGGAAAAGTATCCTGACAGTGGGTTCTGTAAGACACGACCTTTCTGTGCTAATGTCAGTGACCTGTTCACTGATAAGAGCAGAACACTCCTGCACAGCATTTTCAACACTGGTTTCTTTCCCCGCATATTTCACACAGCTCTTCTGGAAAGATCAGAATGTAGACCTAATGCACAGACTTGATCCCAAGATGAGAGGGCAAGTGGGTATCCTTTATAACTTTAATAACACATTAAAGTATGGTTTTTAACCCAAGGAAGAAACCATTTGTTAGAATGTTAATATATTTGGACAATTTTAAAGTAAATGTAAAAATTTAGTAAAAATCATGTGCTGGTTTTATGCATCCAATTTTGCATGGATTCCATATCCAGGTTTTTGGATGTTGGTTCATAACCTAAGTTTTATTCATTTATTTTAACTTTAGAAGAAAATACAGAATTATCAAAAAAAAAAAAAAAAAAAAAAAACCATGGAAACGATATGTTGAGAGAAAATTGCTGCCATTTAGTGTAACCATGGGATGCCATATAAAACAGCTCACTTAAAAAGACCCTGTGGTTAATCCCACACCGGCCGGCACCTGTGCAGGGTGCTGACAGCCAAGACAGGGTGGGGCCTGCCCCCTCCTATTCCCAAACAGTGTTGGCAGCCAAGGAGGAGCTGCCCGGCACACACACTAACCTGCCTCAGTTCAGCTTTATGGACTGGGGTGTGTGGTGGGGAAATCCGGGTTCCTTAGTCCACAGAATTGATGAATTACAATAGGACACACCTTTGTAGTCATTCACAAATTACGTTAAAATTTCTAATGACTAGGGGCCACTTGTCCATCAGGATGAGATTTTACTAGTTGAACTTAGGATTTTTAAGGGACTTTTAGAACCACAAAAAACATGTAAGGGTGTTAAAACCCCTTTCCCCCATGAGGATCTTTGGCTTTAATATTAAATTTGTATATATTTGGTTTTGTGATACTTACAGATGAACACGTTTCCATGTCCAAACTTGCGTGCATTTCTCATATGGCTCAGAATATTTGACCATTCTGTTTATGTTAAGGTATCATTTGTATATCCACAAACAGCTGCTGACTTTTGCTGAATCAACTTAGGAATTAATTTACCAATCTGGTCTTGATTGCGATATGTGTAAAATAGTAGATCATGACTTGAGGATGTTTTTAGTTCATGCTGATGCTCACTTGAATGTCAGTTTAAAATATTCCCCTACTGGCAACCAAATGTGTGTCTGCATAGCAGCATTCCCTGGGCAGGAGCAGCCCCACTGGCTTACCCTCCTGACTGCTATCTCACAGCTGTGAGGAGAACCTTGCTGGTTGAGGATTTTGAAGGACAAACCATTGTCTCTTTCTTGGGAAGTGTAGATACAGGCTTATTGAGTTTCTGAGCAGCATAAAAATAATTCCTTAGCTCTTCACTATGGAACCAAAGCGTTCTGCTGTGAAGTGCAATTTTACAGGGTCACGGGAGGCAGTGCTGTGACCAAGGGGCAGTATTTCCATGGAGGACAGGGGCACCTTTCCCATTGCAAAAGTACTTTCGTTTCCTCTGTGTTGGGGTTGGGAAGATCCTTGTTTCTCCAAGCTGAACTAGGATTGGCCCCGTATGGCACAGCTGCACTGTGCCATAAAAATGTGCTGAGTGGGGTGCACGCTGCAGCCACTGTAGACACAATGAGCCACACTGTTTTAAAACAGATGTATTAAAACAGATGGGCAGCCTCTTTATATAAAATGGGACCAGAGCACAGCTAACACACTTAATTTTATACGTTCCCTGTACCTAGTTTCAAGTCCATTTACTGTTTATATTGTCAATGCTTCCAGCCTAAAGAAAATTTTTTATAAGCACATGGGTTTTTAGCTTTACTGTCTAAATAAACTTGGTGTCATAACAACAGACAGCACCCTGTGAAACAGTACTGTTGGGTCTTTTACTGGCCTTTCAAGGAGTTAGGATATCTTATACTTTGTCAGGTTATTTGTATGACAAAACACAGACCAAACAACTATAAAAACATTGCAGAATCCTACAGACAGCTTGTTAAAATGCAGCCATTTGATAGTGAAAGCATAGATCTGTAGTTTTACCTAATTCTTACACCGAATATAAATAATATAAAGTGAACTGTAACATTTTATTTCCCATTTATTGCCTGTCACAAAAAAAAGGGCTGTGCTTACTGTGGGAGGACTGAGCAAGCAGGTGCACTTTGGATGAGGACGAGAGGCAGAGGGAGGTGCCTGGCTCCCAACCTGGCAACAGTGTGCTATTTTTTATCCTATAAACACAGTGTACCACAGTTTTTCCTGCAACATGAATTTATAATGTTGCCTGAACTGTCATATTTGTAAAGCAGAGGTTTTTAAAGGTGGGGGAGAGGACAGAGTGTGTATTAATGTGTACACACATTAAATGTTTGCCCATTTAATTATTTATGTGTTTTTTCCAGTTTTCTGTATTTCCCAGACTAAACGTGCAGCTTGCATTTGCAGCATGTCATTCCAGGTGTGTGACTGCTCGCCACTCTGCAGACAGTCACCGTGCCACACTAAGATGGAAGGTACCTCTGAGAGCCACAGGTTAAAAAGATATGGAGATTAGGTCACACTGGATCTCAAAGAAGTCTTGTTTTGAGAATTAGGGGAAGTTTGCTTTTTTGTCTTTTAAATTCATTTACAACAAAGAATGACTCAGCTGGGGAAGGTAGAGTGGGTAGAAAAGATGAAAAGCAATGTTTAGATGAAAAGCACGAGTGTCGGATTATAGAATTGTTTTAACGGGTTTTTTTTTTTTTTTTTTTTTAACTTGCATGTTCTGTGGCTAACTATCCGAGTATAGGTAGGTATTCCAGCTTCCCCAATACTCACTATTTCTAAGAAGTCTCCATAATCACCAGGCAGCATTTCCAGGATGGGCAGAGAGGACAACCCAGTCCTCTCTCCTGACTTCTGCAGCTTTGACAAACTCTGGTGTCTCACGGGGTTTCTCACTGTGCTGTGTCTTGCCAGGAAGGGCGTCAGATGTGTGGTTCATGACAAGTGGAAGGTCGTGGATCATTTTGCATGAGTAAAGTTCCTTAGAGCTAATGAAACTGACATGTTTCCATCCATTCTGGGTAAACATCATACTGGCAAACTGACTTAGCATTTACTAGCTTAGTGCAATATTAGAAAGAAGCAGAAACACTAGCACGTTGTACTTGGCTTCATGGGTGGCTTTCTTACCACAACATTAAGTGGACAATGCATAGTGGATTGTAAATGCACCTCCTGCAGATTTACAAGAAATATGCTCAGTTAACATTCTAAAGTATTAAAAGTACAAAGAAAACACTAAGCAAGCATCTATAGCAATACTACAAAGCCTACAATAATTGTTTTGACTGTTGCCTTTTGCTCATTAGTGCAAATTTTCTGCATTGTAATTACTGTATTGCTTTGTATTTCTTGTTTTTTACACCTGAATTGAGAGTTAAGTACTTGTCCACCAAGTATTGCAATCAATCACTTTTCTCTTGTTATACATGCGATGTAATAACATACAGTTTTGGTGCTTAACAATATTCCTTTTTTCTTTAATAAAGGGTATTTATTTGAACTAAGCTGGTTGTGCTTGTTTCAGTTAGCATTGTTGTTAGGTATTCTAAGTGATAGGTGCTCTTTGTAACACAAGATGGTGCAGGACCCAGAAGCTGTCAACCTGTACTGGGGCTCTTCGTGAGCATTGACAAGAGTATGTAACAGCATCATTTGTTGTTGTTTGAGTAAATACACACAAAATTTGGAAATACTGATTTCCAAAATTGGAAGGTTTTTAAATACAGTGAAGCCTTGATTTGTGAGCATAATTCATTCCAGAAACACCATTATAAATCCAAAACACTTGCATAGCAAAGCAAGTTTCCCCGTGACAGATAATGGAAACAGATGATTTATTTTACAACCCAAAAATGCATAAAAGTGATTACAATACTGTAATAGAATACAAACTATAAAGAGAAACTGCATTTCTGTTGGAAACCTCTGTGGCCCATGTGAGAAAGACAGGGTTACCATGCAGGACAACTGCTCGCGTCTGCGGGGATCACTGCTCTCTGCTCACTCAAGACTCTGTGCAGCTCTAGCAAAGGGCCTGACCCACATATGCCTTTGCCTCCCTCCTTCTGAGGACTTCATAGAAATGCGATGCTTATGCTGCTGCAGCCTTATTTAGTTGGTGCTTTCTATAAAATTTTCCACCATTTCCTGCATTTGACACAGTTCCCGAATCTCACTTGCAGTGGGGGCTCTCTCAGCCTTTTCCCCTCCTCCTCCTCTGCAGTTGGGATCAATCCCCTCCCCTCTGTATCATTACTTGTCGCTGCTGGGAGGCATCACCCACCGTCCTGTAAGGAGGAGGAAGAATCAGCTCAGTTAAGGTCATGGTCATGTGATGTTTAGTGTCACAGTACTTGTAAGATTTACTCACGTTATCAAGAGCATTAATCAAGTCAAGATTTTTCAGGAATGTTTGCTGGGCCAGGATATAGCTCAGAGGCACAGCATCTGTTGTGCACAGTGCCAGGCCCTGAGTTTGATTCCCTGTAACGTGCAACGCCCCTCTGCCAAATGGGTTTGCAGAATAGATTCCTTGCAATATAGACTTTTACTGTCCAGTACTTTTCAGTAATCAATTTCTGGTTGTATAAATTGGGGGAGACCATGAGGTCAAACTAAAGAGTGGGGCCTAGCAGACACTGGCTGCATCTGTCAGAATAAGACCAAGGGCAGCTCAGGAGTTTTGAGGACCACATGATTGATAACCACCTGATAAAGCAGAAGGAGGGTTAAGGTGGATTTTTGCCCGAAGCAGGGAAGCCAATGAAAACTGCTCCCCTCTCTGCTGCTACACAGAGCAGGGGATTGAACCCAGGGTCTTCACACTGAGCAGCATCCCCAGTTTATTTTTGAGACTAGCTAAATTGCCTGTGTTGTTTGACCTTGTCATTGTCCTGCCTAAGCCTCCTACAGTGCTAAGGTTGCAGGTGTGCACTGCTATGCCTGGCTTCATCCTTGTAGTAAACAAATCTCATCACTACACAGTAGAAGTTATAGAGAAGACGAGGCTTCCCTGGTCACTTTCATCATGGTAGTTTGGTAAGAAAGTGGTGTAAGGGTGAAGAGGGGACAGCTGGCTTCTGGGTGAGCCTGTGTCTGTGGGAGTCCCAAGAGTGTGTCCCTAGCCAGAATAAAGTTTTCAGTAAGCTCCTTAGGTAAACAAGTGCATTGAGGTCCACAGTCATTAAGCAGAAAATGAAGTACTGATTTGGATGCCCACATGCCTCTGCCCTTGGCATGGAGGTCTCTGGGTCTAGGGCTCTACAGAGGCTCTGTGCCCAGCACCACAGTCCCTGTCCTCAGGAGCGGCTCATGGCCCCACGCATAGGGCGCATGCATCTGCCATGGAGAGGGGAGCAGTGGCCAGGCCTCTCTGTGACACCCTGGGCCGTGGCGTGGGCAGCAATGCATTTCCTGGACCTTGAGAGGCTGTGAGCCTGGCTCTAAGCGGGATCACTGAGGGCCCAGCTGGGGCCCAGTTGGAGCGGGCGGGACTGGGCTTCTGGAATGGTGAGCGGAGCGTTCGCTGCATGGTCCACAGTCCCATTGCCTGTAGGAGAACCATGGAGTAAAAGGTGATGACCAAGAGACACTTCCAGCTACCAAGAAGGGTCCATTTTAGACAGGAAATATTTTGAGTCTACTTCTGCAAATGCAAATAAGCATGGAAACTGAACGTGGTCATTTGCACCATGTGCAGCTTGCAGAGCTGCTGAACCCCTACGATGCCTCTGGCTGCAGCACGCAGTGGTGTCAGTTGCCTCAGTGCAGCTCAGAATCAACACCTCTGAGTCAGGCCCTCACACGTGGAGTAGGAAGAGTGGGCCTGGGGTCCAGGCTGAGGCCAAGGCACACCTTGGGCCTGCATGTGGAGTTGAGGAGGGGTCTTGCCCGGCTCCAGCTGGTAAGCACAGTCACTCACAATTCTCAGTTTCCTCCTTTGAGGCTTAAGTGGACAGAAGCATCCAGGATTCACTCTGAGACTCCTGTCCTGTGACTCTGTGAGACACCACCAGTGCCAGCTGCTCCAGTGGACATTGACACCAGCCTGTGCCATTCAGTCACAACACTGAATGGTGTGCACTGGAGCAGGCCAGGCAGAGTTGCAGATGATATGTGTCGCCACCTGGTGCACTCGGGGCACTGTCGCCATGGGTGACTCTTCTCTGGGCTCAGAGTGTGCCTGGGAATTCACCCGAGCTGAAAAGCGAGAAGGCTCTGGTCAGGACACCCATGGGTCCTCGTGGTAGTGCTCTACTCAGAAGCTTCACTCCAGATTGCACCACAGGCTCACCCAGACTGCCTGGGGTCCAGAACATCTTCCAGGATGCCTCAAGCTGGGATCATCAATGTTAACTTGATACCATGTAGCCCCTCAAATTTTTCTGCCGCCCATTATGTCTTTCTTGCAAGCTTCAGATTTAACAATAAGCAACATAAAAAATTTCTACTACTAACTTGATTGAAAACTTACATGTGACACCAAGTCTTCACGTGAACGTGGTTTTTTTTTGGGGGGGTGGTGGTACTGGGGATTGAACTCATGACCTCACACTTGCCAGGCACACGCTTATACCACTGAGCTTAATCCCCAGCCCATGAATGTGTGTTTTTATTTTTTCTGAGTAAGTAGCTTGAGGTAGAATGACTGTTATCTGCTGGATATGTTTAATGAAAGGTCTCAGAATAGACAAACTCACAAGCCACCAAGGGCAGCGTTACTCTGAGAGAGTTCCATGTCACACTGGAGCTTCTGTGTTAGCTCTTTTGGACTCAGAGGTATCATTCCCCTCATTTCCAGAGAAAAAAAACCAGAGCTGGGAGGTGAGGCCCCTGCCCAAATGCTCACAGGCCGCACCTAGGTGGGCAGCAGGCCACAGGTGGAGCAAGGTACTCTAGGTACTGCTAGTGCTGCCACTTGCTCAGGCCCAGGCCTCTGGCTACAGAGCAGCCACAGCCCGAGATGACCCTTGTGATCATTTATATCCCTAAATGTCTTCACCCTAGCTGCCAGGATGTCACTGACCGGTGGGGAGATGCCCTTCTCCCAGGGCCAGCACCCACAGAGGGCTGGGGTGGGGGACAGGGGTGGGGGATCCAGTGCCTGTCCCAGCTGCTCACTCATGGAATGCAGAGCTGCTAGTAGTTCGAAGTTCGTTCAAGTGGCTTCTATGCAAATATCTGTTCCCTTTGCATTTTAATTTGTAATAAAAATGGAAAATCTGTAATTGACCAACTTTTTCTTATTCCAAAACACAACCTCAAAAATTCTAGTTAAATATCAAATCTGGGGTAAACATGGCAGATAGATAACAGCAGGCTACAGAGGATCCCTGAAGACAGTCAACTTCGATTTCAAAATAACAGCATGGGGAGTCCCAAACAGAGGGAGATGAATATTCTTGATCCAGAAAGAAACTAAAATGGGAAGAAGCAATCAAACAGTACTGGTGCTACTATTGGAACAGCTAAAAGCTCGGTGCCCCCACTGCAGTGTTGTCTTAGTTACTTTATGCTCGTCACTGAGACAAAATACCTGAAGCCCAAAGTTGGGAAAGGAAAGGTTTATTTCTTACAGTTTTTGGAGGTTTCAGTCTACACTCAGTTGGCTCCAAGACAGGCAGGTATGGCTGGGCTGCAGTTCATGGCAGCCGACAACAGCAAACTCGAACCAGCAAAGAGAAAAACACACCTTCTTCCTGCCATTACATCACATCCTGGCTCCACCCCTATGTGGGTGGAGCACTGACACCATCAATCCAAGCACACTATACAATGAACCATCACATATGAACAATGCAAACTCATGAGGCCTAGGGGACACAATCATAAACCATGACAAGTGTCCATACTTGCACAACTGTGACTTATGCAATGGCCTGAAATCCCGACGCTTTGACCCACTAGAAATACAGTCACAATGAGGTTGGGGGTCGGTGAGCCAAATGGAGAGCTGAGCTGGTGGGAAACCTGCATCAACCTGCGGTGAGTGCTGGGAATAAAACCATTCCACAGAAAAGGGGGCTCCAACAGACAACATTCTGGGACTGGGCAGACTGGCAAGAACAAGAAGCAGGGACTAGTCAGTTGCTCCCTTCTTGGCTTGGCTTGGGTCATACCCTTGGCTGACATCCAACAGTTTACCCCAAACCAATTCCCTACACCTGGCATACACTAATGCAGTGAAGACCTCAGCAGATTGACTGACCTGGAGGGGAGGGACCAGCATATGCTGCTCCTGTTTGCACCTCAATAGCAGCCAGCAGTGGATAGGATCATTTAGCCAGCACGCTTCAAAGGAAGAATCATAACCAACAAAGAAAGAAACTGGGGTCTTCTATATATACCTGTATGGAAGAAACAAAAAATATGAGAAGAGGAAGCAAAAAGAAAAAGTCCCCATCCCCCAACCCTGAGAACATTGACCCAGGACAGGTAAATACAAAGGAGAATGAGAACGGCAAACATGCAATATCAGACACAACACCAGTGGACATAAAGAGAT